TATTTTCCACGAACCACAAATTAAAGAGCCGCTGACTGAAACCAATCTTACTAATGGAGAGGAAATGTGAAAGCTGAGCATTGCATTCAGCTGACAATACAGAAATAATAGAAACACAATTCCAAATAACATCTTATTTTCCTGATTATCAAATGCAAAATGTATTGGCAACAAGCGTGTCGGTTAGTCATCTGTGCCGAAAGATCATAATATGAGAGAAAGCCATTTATAAGAGCACATCTACGTGATTAACCTCCAGATGAAGATTTACAGATTAACTCATTAACATTCCAATGTGAAATTACTTTTGCCTAATTTTTTATGCTTGAGCGGTAATGAATCCATTTTCTTGATTGTTCATCACAGGACACAGAGAGACAGTTTTTAAATGAATGGGTTATGCAGCTACCTTCAGGTGGTCGGACAGTTTTGCTGATGGAAAAATCAGTAATGTCGTGGCTAAATAATTTCCCCTGGTCAGTGGAGGGTTTGTGCAGGGGTAGCCAACAGACTTTAAATATCATACTTACCAACATTGTGGTCCCAAATCCTGGGACATTGTTAATCCTTTCCACCGTCAGCATCACGTCCACTTATGGGCTGGTCTGGGGCAGACTCCTCTAAAAATGCGGCGACCACCCATCACGCTGACTTTACAGGTTGGTCCCAGCCAGACTTTGCCTTTTAATATGCAGGGACCAGCTATCATGCCAACTTTACAGATTGGTCCTGGGCAGACTCGGCCTTTAATATGCAGGGACCACCCATCATGCCAACTTTACAGGTTGGTTCCAGCCAAACGCCATCTCTAAACATGCAGGAGCCACCCAATACGCCGACTTTACTGGTTGGTCCCGGACTCCTTCTATAAATATGCGGGGACCACCTATCACGCCAACTTTACAGGTTCCTACAACCCAGACTATGCCTTTAAATATGCAGGGACCATCCATCACGCCCACTTTACCAGTTGGTTCTGGATAGAATCTGCCTTTAAAGGAGAACTATGGGGTCAGGGCTTTTCCCCATAGTTCTTCTTAGGGTAACGGGAGGACACAAACTAGCGTCCTCCCGTCACCCTAAGCTCAGTATATAGAGAGCTGCAGCTCGCGGTATACTGAGACGCCGCAGCCGGAGCGGATCCCGACATCGATGTCAAGATCCGCCCAGCTGCGTGAGTGACAGCTGGCTCTGCCTATCTAGAGGCAGAGCCAGCTGTACCCGCCCCCTCCCCGTCCGTTCCACCAGTCAGCGCTGGTGGATCGGAGTGGGGAGGGGAGAATCCAGCCCCTCCCCTGTCACGGCAGAGAGCCGTGAAAGGATCGAGAAGTGAGCGAACACTGTTATGTGTTCGCTCACTTCCCGATCTACTGAGCCGACCTGTGACAGTCTCATTGTCACAGGTCGGCTAGAACTATGAGGTGAGTGAAAAGCACTCACCTCATAGTTCTCCTTTAACTATGCTGGGGACCACCCATCACGCCCACTTTACAGGTTGGTCCCGGCCAGAATCCACCTCTAAATATGCGGGAACCACCCATCACGCCCACTTTGCAGCTTGGTCCTGGCCAGGCTCCAGCTCAAAATATGTGGGGACCACCCATCACACCCACTTTACAGGTTGGTCCTGGCCACACTCCACCTCTAAATATTCAGTGACCACCCATTACACCCACTTTACAGGTTGGTCCTGGCCAGACTCTGCCTCTAAATATTCAGGTACCACCCATCACTCCCACTTTACAGGTTGGTTCAACTTACACCCCACCACTAAATATGTGGGGACCACCCAGTGATGGCCCCAATCTCCCCAATTAATGCCTTAGTTACTCTGCATGTGAAGTAACTCAAATAAGGTTGAAGCTGTGACACCAGGACATGGGGCAGGACACTGCATTGGGGGAGGAGACTTTTCCCAACAAATCCGGGGTAGTTGCCATGTATGCAATAACCTCCTGATCTGATTTTATTTTTCAGGATCGGGCAATGACCATAATATTATTGCAGTAATAAGGGCTTACAAATTGACGCCGAGCCCGCATGAGCATCAGAAGTCTGGGAATTTTTATGGCGAAGTAAATATTAATTTAGGGTTCGGATCTACTTTAGGTCAGGTTGACTGTTTTAGAGAAAAGTTTCCATCTTTGCACACACCATCCAGAGAGCAGAGAAATTCTTCCAGAGCTCATTAACTCCGCGGATAATCATCACTATGCAGATTAAAGTGGGCCATGTCACATGGAAAGCCTCTTTGGAGATAAAGTTATCTCAGCAGCCACATTTCCTTATCAAGTATGAGAATATCACAGAAGATGATGCAAATCTATTGAAATCATTTCACTGTTTATCGAAAAAAAAAACCCATCAAAGATCTCTTCCAAAATATCTACACTCAGTAATGAACATGTAGCATGGAGGACGGTAGCCGGTCGTTGTCGCCGTGGGTTATTAACTCCAGATTTTAAGAGTTATTAGGCTTCTACTATAAATGTCCAAATCACTTCACTATAAGATAGAGGTCATAGGGAAGGATTGGTCTCATATGTGGTGTCACAGGCATTTGAAGGCTTTCTTCCTTATCCTTATGCTTATGAATCAAAAGGCATTGTCAGCATAAACCAAATGAAATAATGTTTTTGGATAAGAAAGCGCCTTGTGATGAAGAAAAATGTCGCTCTGAGCTTCATCATGTCACTTACAGCCGAGCCAAAGATCACAGATCTCAGCATTTCAGCTACTTTGTGGGTATTTACCATCATTAGAAGCTGAAAAGGTTAAAGGAGAACTATGAGGGGAGTACTTTTCACTCACCTCATAGTCCTAGCCGACCTGTGACAGTCTCATTGTCACAGGTCGGCTAGGACTATGAGGTGAGTGAAAAGTACTCCCCTCATAGTTCTCCTTTAAAGGAGAACTATGAGGGGAGTACTTTTCACTCACCTCATAGTCCTAGCCGACCTGTGACAGTCTCATTGTCACAGGTCGGCTAGGACTATGAGGTGAGTGAAAAGTACTCCCCTCATAGTTCTCCTTTAAAGGAGAACTATGAGGGGAGTACTTTTCACTCACCTCATAGTCCTAGCCGACCTGTGACAGTCTCATTGTCACAGGTCGGCTAGGACTATGAGGTGAGTGAAAAGTACTCCCCTCATAGTTCTCCTTTAAAGGAGAACTATGAGGGGAGTACTTTTCACTCACCTCATAGTCCTAGCCGACCTGTGACAGTCTCATTGTCACAGGTCGGCTAGGACTATGAGGTGAGTGAAAAGTACTCCCCTCATAGTTCTCCTTTAAAGGAGAACTATGAGGGGAGTACTTTTCACTCACCTCATAGTCCTAGCCGACCTGTGACAGTCTCATTGTCACAGGTCGGCTAGGACTATGAGGTGAGTGAAAAGTACTCCCCTCATAGTTCTCCTTTAAAGGAGAACTATGAGGGGAGTACTTTTCACTCACCTCATAGTCCTAGCCGACCTGTGACAGTCTCATTGTCACAGGTCGGCTTAGAACTATGACGTGAGTGGAAATCACTCATGTCATAGTTCTCCTTTAAATGTCCTGGTGACCATTGTTATATGATTTGCATATCTTTCATGTTTCTTACAGAATCTTTGGAAATTGATAGAATAGTGACAGATGTGCTCCTGGCTGTGACAGGGGGTTTTGGTGGTGGCGTGTAAGTTTGTGGGTCGGGGAGGGTAGGTGGGTTTGCTATGGGGGGGATTTATGGTCTTTGCAATACCTAAATCGGTAACAAAAAAAAATGACAAAGATTTGCAGAAATTGTAAGTGATATAAGCAGGGCCGGATTTCTCACAAGGCCAACCGAGGCCCGGCCTTGGGGCAGCAGGGAGTAGAGGAGCAGCAGGGGTGTGGAATTCCTATCTCCCCATGCCTGGGACATGCAGTTCTGGGTAGTTATTTTCTACATTTAGCCCGGCTTTGGGCAAGCAGAGCTAAATGTAGAGCGGGGAAGCCGCCGCTTGTTTTGTACAAGTGATCTCAGCGATGTCGCCGAGAACACTTGTATTCAGCCTGCATACAGGGGGGGCTCATTGAGGAACCTGGCCTTGGGGCAGCAGAGAGAGTAAATCCGGTCCTGGATATAAGGTCAAGGTTGGGAAACAGTCAAAGTCAATTAATGAGGTCCAGGTCTGTTTAATATTGTCTCATTTATATTACACGGTCAAATGTGGGCCTGATCATCACGCCTGCACTAAAAGCATGTGAATTCAGGTGTTTCCAGTGAAGGGTTCTGTTATACAGACACAATACAGATACTACATCATATAGAGACATTTGGGGCGATTGTGCTCTTCTAACCCTGTGGTAACAGTTTGGTGAAGGACCTTTTCTGTTCCACCATGACTGTCCTCTGTGTACAAAGCCAGCTCATAAAGACACGGTGCGACCAGCTTGGTGTGGAGGAACTCAAGTGGCCTGCTCAGAGCCCTGACCTCAACCATACTGAACACCTTCCGTTGAAGTGGAACGCTGTTTGCGAACCAGGTCTACTCATCCAACATCAGTACATCAGGAAAATCCATATTAATGACCATGGTTTTGGAGTAAGATGTCCAAAAAGCTCATAGGAGTGTAATGAGCAGGTGTCCAAAAACCTCTGGTCATGTAGTGTTCCTTCTTTTATTGCTGTAATTTCTACAAAAAACAAACTCCAGAAAGACAGGGTTGGGGTCCTCCAGAATTTGGCAATGGTCCTCCTGCCTGCTGTGAAGATGTACTGTACATTAACAATTTAAACTGAAGGCCATTGACATTGTCTGGTTTCTTGTTAATCACAGAGTGTAATGTTTTGAATCAAACTTTTCAGAAATAACAAATGGCGCTGTGTTTCTGTTCTGTGATGTATCTGTTATGCAGCAGTTGAGTTCGGTTGGTGTATATAATTTATAATGGTGTCTTTTTTTTCTCTGTTTCTGAAGGCCACTGAGCCTGAGTGGATTACTCCAGCCATGACCCCACTTCAGATTCTACACAGAGTGCTCAGCCCCACTGCTAGCATGTGAGTACTCTCGGCAAAGCGGCCTGCTCCCCATGCTATGGACACTCCGCATCATCACGGCTGCATTCCCGGGCCCCTCTACCTCCTCCAGCATCCGTGTGCAAACTTCCCATGCCCATCTGCTATGACATACATCCCTGCTGATGATCTGCATGAACATTCCAGAACCACCCTGAGCCCCTACAGCTATCCACTGAGCACAAACCATGGCTTAGAGGAGCCCTCGCTGAGCAGCATGCATCCATTAAAGAGTGTAGGGTGCCACTTTGTGGGAGGAGAATGCCACCCTCTCCGGGCATGGCAAGTAGGCCCCACAGCACCTGGTGCTATGGCTGAACCCAGGCTGTATCGGAGTTTGGAAAACCTACACTGGGCAGAATCAAGCTTGTTTGCACACTACAGGAACTTGGATAGCGAATTTATTCTGCACTGTAGAAGCACTCAGCACCTGTCGGAAGGGTCTGCGGAGAACGTGCCCATCCAGGGTGTGACTGACAAGGTAGCCTTCCACCAGGACCTGCCGATGCCCCCACTTGCCAAAATTCATCATTGGCTTTTTCCAACAGTGGACGACAAGGTCTCCTACAGTGATGCCAAACGGGAACTGAAAGAAAAGCTCAGAACTCACAGCTCCAAGACCGTGGAGCCCACTAGGCCTATCCGCCCACAGACTCTGATAGCCGACTGCGTGGCGAGAACACAGAAGGATAGGCCATGCCACCACTGTAAGCCTATGTTGGCCAGCAGCACACCCTCTGCACTTTCGAATAGCACAAATGCAGCGGTCAGGCATTGCACAAGTTTTTTAGCCCACAGGACTACTCCAGAGCACATAAAGCAGGAGGCCAGGAGACGGCTACAGCTCCGAAGGCAAAACAGCTCGCCAAACCTGACTCTTTACCAAGGCGAGGGCGACAGTAGTGGTTTGATCAAGTCAAAAACTGCCGAGTCCTTCAATGAACAGAGACCGTGTCCTGGGAGAGTTTGGGAAACAGACTCTACCAAAAGGTTGGGCGTTAAAAGCAAGCTGTACATACCAACATTTGAAGAGTTTAAGAGAATGCGCCACAAGGAGAAAAACTGTCCGACAAAGGGAGACGAGGGCTCGGAAACTGACGACAAGAAGCCAGAGCAAGACTATAAAGATGTAAACCCTCACCGGACAGTTAATACAGACACCTCCCGCCAAAGGCCAGATCAAGAGAGAACTGCCATGACGGATGGATCCACTTCCCCAGCTCTAGGAAGCGACGAGACAACAGACTCCCGAACCAGAACGTCGTTGAGCAGTAGTGATGCTGACAGCACAGTTCCACACACTGTAGAGCATGGCTCATTAGACATCAGAGCTTGCCCTTCATATCGGCCTGCATTCACCGCTCCCATTTGTTCCAGTCCTGTTTCGAGTTTCCCATTACAGGCTCTAACCATGCATAGTGAGAAAGAACAACTTGTGGGGTGTGAGCCTCATGATGATGCACGTAGATCGAGCGGATTCCCTGGTGTGGGCGAGCAGGGTCATGTTTCTGAAGCCCACTCTTCTTGCTGTTCATCTTTGCTTTTAGAAGCAACTGACCTGTCTGGCTACAGTGCCAAGCTGCAGAAGATGAAGGATGGCCTCATAGGATCCGCTCTGGACCTCATCAAGAAAAGGTAATGCGCTCAATGTCTTCGTAAACACAATGCATCATTATAGTTTTTTGTTGTTGCAGATATTGATGGGAGTGTGTAAGTCTCAGGACCAGGGCAGCCATCAGAAATTTTAGGGCCCCTTACACGGCTTTAGGCCGGGCCCCCACCCCGCGCTGCTGGACACAGGGCTTAGTGACGTGCTGGACGCAGGGCCCACCTGAGAGTGACACTGCAGAGCCCACCATAGATGCTGCACAGCCCATCTGAGACTGTCTATGGTGGGCTCTGAAGGGGTCTCAGGTGGGCTGGTCAGAAGGACATTGATTGGACTAACATACAAATCCTTTGGGCATTGGCTGGATAGGCCTTACCTTTGTAGAATAGGAAACTCAGTGAGAACTCTCCACTACACAGCAACCCCTTGCTGGGAGTAGTCCTTATCTAGGGCTGGTCTGGGAGTAGTCCTCCTTATCAACTACTCCAAGCTTTCAAACTCCTGATTGGCAAGGAGGATTCTGTTGCTTTCAGCAAGTTCCTCCCAGACATCTCCGCCAAACTGAGTGGCCACAATATATCTTCAGAACACAGATCTAGAAACACTGGGTTGATAATCTCTCCTAGAACCCCTTTGCAGAGGAAGCCTTAACATAGTTAGGGAGACCCTACAAACTCCATGCATGGATTGTCCTTTGTTGGACTGTGCCACCCAGAGTTGCCATGCTGCATGACTCTCCATTAATACAAGTCCATCGGCTTCTGGCCTGGGAACAGTAAGAACCAAGAGATCCATGGTAGTGCACCAGTTCCATGTTACAGAGGATTACAGAAACAAAAACAGAGGTGTCATCCCTGACAATTAAAGAATATATATATACACTGAGTGGCCAGATTATTATATACACTGAGTGGCCAGATTATTATATACACTGAGTGGCCGGATTATTATGACCACCTGAGGTTTGTAGGCAAATTAGCTATAATTTGGCGCTGAAGTTGCTAGAGGGCCAGACCATTATAAATAGGGAAGCCGGTTGGTTACCACGACAGTAGAAGGGATTTGTTTCTGAAGATTCGGGGAAACAACGCGATGTAACAGCCTTGGAACGTGGGATGATTGTTGGCGCTCGGAGCCATGGAGCGAGTATCAGCAAAACAGCAGAATGCGTTACATGTTCAGGAGCGGCTCATTGTTAAAGTGTTTAAAGACCGGACTGTCAGCCGAAAATCTGGGTGTGAGCGTGCGAATTGTGGCCGTCAGCGACTAGTCAATGTTAGGGCAGAACGGGGGAGGGGCAAGACTGGTACAAGACAACAGAAGGCAACAGCGCCGTGTCAGATTCCTCGCATCACCTTTCATCATCTCGTGGAGTCACCAGGCGGCCCAACGAAGTACTGATGGGGGTGGTCATAATAATCTGGCCACTCAGTGTGTATATATATACTGTATATCCCATTGTGAGATGATTAAACTTCACCAGATCCAGGTTTCGCTTATGTGATGGTTCAAAAACACTATCTTCCTGTAGAATAGTCATTGACCGCACAGTTCCAACAGAGGATCATGTAAAAGGAAGCACAATGGTCCAGCACAGTATCTTTGTCCACCTGCAGGATAGTCATCCCTGTGTCCTCTTTAGTGAGATCTGTATCAGTTGCGTAACTATAGCCATAGCAGCCCAGGCGGCTACTCTGGGGTCTGGGGGTAGAAGGGGGCCCCATTAGGTTGTTGAGGCAAATTAAACATAGAACATGTGAAGATAATACAGTACTATATCATTAAGGTTTGGGGTGGTTGCAATTGACAACTCTAATCCCCTGTAAAGTGTACAATGTAGAGACAACTTCAGATGCACAAGAGGAGCCTTTGGGATCTTGGCATCATTATCCACAGCTCAGAGAGAGAGGTAATCAGGGGGGGCCGCATCACATTTTGGCTATGGGGCCCCATGATGTGTAGTTAGAGCCCTGATCTGTATAAAAATAAATTGGGCCTGTACAGCACAAAATTGATATTGTAGGATTTTGTAGATTCAGCAAAGTTAAACCAAAGTCTCTTCCATCTTCCTGGGACTCTATTGAGATCTCTTCACTGAGTTCCCGGGTTTGTACACCTGCTGTGCCCATTATGAGGAGCCCCCACCATCCCTGTGCTGAGTTCCCGGGTCTGTCCACCCGCTGTGGCCATTATGAGGAGCTCCCACCATCCCTGTGCTGAGTTCCCGGGTCTGTCCACCCGCTGTGGCCATTATGAGGAGCTCCCACCATCCCTGTGCTGAGTTCCCGGGTCTGTCCACCCGCTGTGGCCATTATGAGGAGCTCCCACCATCCCTGTGCTGAGTTCCCGGGTCTGTCCACCCGCTGTGGCCATTATGAGGAGCTCCCACCATCCCTGTGCTGAGTTCCCGGGTCTGTCCACCCGCTGTGGCCATTATGAGGAGCTCCCACCATCCCTGTGCTGAGTTCCCGGGTCTGTCCACCCGCTGTGGCCATTATGAGGAGCTCCCACCATCCCTGTGCTGAGTTCCCGGGTCTGTCCACCCGCTGTGGCCATTATGAGGAGCTCCCACCATCCCTGTGCTGAGTTCCCGGGTCTGTCCACCCGCTGTGGCCATTATGAGGAGCTCCCACCATCCCTGTGCTGAGTTCCCGGGTCTGTCCACCCGCTGTGGCCATTATGAGGAGCTCCCACCATCCCTGTGCTGAGTTCCCGGGTCTGTCCACCCGCTGTGGCCATTATGAGGAGCTCCCACCATCCCTGTGCTGAGTTCCCGGGTCTGTCCACCCGCTGTGGCCATTATGAGGAGCTCCCACCATCCCTGTGCTGAGTTCCCGGGTCTGTCCACCCGCTGTGGCCATTATGAGGAGCTCCCACCATCCCTGTGCTGAGTTCCCGGGTCTGTCCACCCGCTGTGGCCATTATGAGGAGCTCCCACCATCCCTGTGCTGAGTTCCCGGGTCTGTCCACCCGCTGTGGCCATTATGAGGAGCTCCCACCATCCCTGTGCTGAGTTCCCGGGTCTGTCCACCCGCTGTGGCCATTATGAGGAGCTCCCACCATCCCTGTGCTGAGTTCCCGGGTCTGTCCACCCGCTGTGGCCATTATGAGGAGCTCCCACCATCCCTGTGCTGAGTTCCCGGGTCTGTCCACCCGCTGTGGCCATTATGAGGAGCTCCCACCATCCCTGTGCTGAGTTCCCGGGTCTGTCCACCCGCTGTGGCCATTATGAGGAGCTCCCACCATCCCTGTGCTGAGTTCCCGGGTCTGTACACCCGCTGTGCCCATTATGAGGGGCTCCCACCACCCCTGATGTATTTCATTTATTTTATATTATGGAGAATGTAACAGGAGGAGCGGAACACAAAACAATTGAACGTTAACACACAGAGATGGGCCCGGGGATGATGGCCGGGAGATGGTAGACATACAAGCAATGGGCGGACATGTGTGGCCTGACCCGTGACATAAGCTGTGGGCACACTGTGATTAGTCAGCTGCTTGCAGCTCTTCCTGAGTCTTTATAACTAATCTGGATCTGTGGAGACGATGTGTTATCATATGAAAAAGGCAGACAGCGGGAATCGCTGATGATGATGATGGAAACTATTGAGTGACCCTCTTCTCCTTCCCTCGCAGTTGCAGCGCTGAAAGCAGCGAGTCTCCAGCCGGCGGATCATGTGACAACCCGAAAACCGATAGCAGCACGTCACAGGGACAGAGCTGTCAGTCTCCCGCCGTCTCTATGGCAACCCCGAGCTGCGAGAATGCGTCAAGCACCGAGGTGCCCCCTGACCTCAAACCCAGTGTAAGTATCAGCAAGAGCGTATTAGTGACCGCTGCATCATGTGACATGTGACAGCATATTAGTGACCGCTGCATCGTGTGACATGTGACCTTTAATTGTTATAAAATGTATAAATCAACACGCATGACACAGGCAGAGATGGATATTTGGTTTGGCTCATCCGCAGTTCTATTGGCACCGTTCCAATCCACGTGAGAAAAGCCACAACTGAGGTTCTACTTACCAATGAATCTTCCAGCTGTAAAGGTTCCAGGGACTTTGCCTAGGCTGACATGATGCCATCAGTCTGATGCAGGCAGGAGGAAGCATTTCCTCAGTCTCCACTCCCTAAGTGATCAGTCTGCTGCAGGCAGGAAGAAGCATTTCCTCAGGCTCCCCTCCCCCAGTGATCAGTCTGATGCAGGCAGGAGGAAGCATTTCCTCAGGCTCCCCTCCCCCAGTGATCAGTCTGCTGCAGGCAGGAGGAAGCATTTCCTCAGTCTCCTCTCCCCCAGTGATCAGGTTGCTTAAGGCAGGAGGAAGCATTTCCTCAGTCTCCCCTCCCCCAGGGATCAGCCTGCTGCAGGCAGGAGGAAGCATTTCCTCAGGCTCCCCTCCCCCAGTGATCAGTCTGATGCAGGCAGGAGGAAGCATTTCCTCAATCTCCCCTCCCCCCCGTGATCAGTCTGATGCAGGCAGGAGGAAGCATTTCCTTAGTCTCCTCTCCCCCAGTGATTAGTCTGCTGCAGGCAGGAGGAAGCATTTCCTCAGTTTACCCTCCCCCAGTGATCAGTCTGCTGCAGGCTGGAGGACGCATTTCCTCAGTCTCCCCTCCCCCAGTGATCAGACTGCAACATTGTAACTTTGTAGCCAGTCACAAGGTGAGAGGCTGCAGCAGGGGCTGATTTGTGCCAGACATTTGTGAACAAGAACTGCAGTCACCGGGATTTCCATGATTGTGTCATCTCTGGGCCGAAATCTCAGACCAGGAAGTAGATGGTGACCCTGGATGATGCCTGAAGAAAGGTGGCGCCATCCTTTTGGATATAAAAGCAGATGAAGGCATTGTCAGGGGGGAGTGCTGTGATCTCTGTGAGAGGTAATAATGCCTGGAAGGGTCACATGACACATTACTCTTCATATAATATGTATCTGATGCTGGGTCTGCGTTCATAGACTGTTCTTCAGTCACAGCCGACGTTTCATTGCTGGGTGGAGTAATCCTCTGCATTGTCTCGCAGTCAGGGCGGGGTTTCCTGAGCGGTCACATTGTCATGTTCACCCGTTCAGTATGGAAGTCGTGCGCTCGGTTCTGCTCCGTGTCTCCTCTATGAAGTCAGTTCTATAGTCTGATGCAGATGGGAGCAGAAAATAGATCATCGCCGTTCTCAAAGGTCGATTCTTTCCATCGGCGCGGCGCGGAGGAGGGGGAGGGGCGGCCGTGTCATCTGCACCCTCCATCTATCCCCCAGTGAATTCATCTTCCTGCTCCCCTGTGAACGGGTTGTAGTGGACTCCAGAGAGAGACAAACAGACCAACTGCATGTGATCAGACCCTAGATGAGGCACCACAAGTCCCAGCCTGCCCTGAGCAAGCACAATGATTGGAGAATCAAAGACTGTTCTGGAGCAAAACACACCAACCAGATTTATTCTCACTTTAAAGGGTATAAGCAGGGACGTCCCTATAATGAGGCAGCCTGAAGATGTTGCCTCAGGCGGCATCTGTTTGGGTCACATGGGGGCGTCAGGCACAATGTTTGCAGTCTGCCTGCCGCCCCCTTTCTGGCTGGAGCGTCCCAGGTTGCTAAGAGTTGGGTGGGGAGATGTGTAAGGTTAGTGTGCACCACCGCCACCATACCCGGCCCCCCTCCACCCACCTTAAGCAGCGAAACGGCTCGGTATGCACCCAGCCCCCGGGTATAAAATAAAAATAAGGGGAAAAAATTAGGGAGATACAGAGAAAGAGAGAGAGAGATACAAAGAGAGGGGGGGGAGATACAAAGAGAGAGAGAGAGAGATACAAAGAGAGAGAGAGAGATACAAAGAGAGAGATACAAAGAGAGAGAGAGATACACAGAGAGAGAGATACAAAGAGAGAGAGAGAGATACACAGAGAGAGATACACAGAGAGAGAGATACAGAGAGAGAGAGAGATACACACAGAGAGAGAGATACACAGAGAGAGAGATACACAGAGAGAGATACAGAGAGAGAGAGGGGGAGAGATAGAGAGAGATACAGAGAGAGGGAGGGGGAGAGATAGAGAGAGAGGGAGATAGCGATACAGGGAGAGAGAGATAGATAAGCCAGGTATAGAGTAGACGGGGTGGTCGGGTGCTGGCCCAGCTGTGTTAGTCATCACCTTGCATTGTATCCTCATCTAATAGCCATGTCTGTGTTTTTCAGCTCTGCAGCCCCGGGTGTCGGAGGTCCAGCTCAGACATGACTCATGAAGCCGGTGACTCAGGAAAAAGCCAGCGTAGCTGCCGCCTGCGCCCGCACTTCAGCGACCCCATGCCCACGGACGCTGTGAAGAGGAAACAGCTGGAGCTGAAGATCGCAGCGGCGGCCCGGCAGCACGCTCACCGGCAGAGGCAGGACAAAGAGAACGGTACACAGTAGACTTTTACTTCATGGTGGCCAGAACATTCACATCATCGAACCCTCCTCACCAATCAGAGGGGGTAACAGAAAACTGAAAACGTGTTACAAATAAAAGTATCCACTTATGTTAAATAGTAATGCCTGAGGCTCCATTCACACAGGAGCGCTCGTACGCGTGTATACGACCGTACGAATAGGCGCGGAACGGCTATAAACATTAAAAAAACAATGCACTACGCACTTTAATGTGCATTGTTCAGACTTTTGCGGCGTCCCCAAGCGCCATTTTTGGGCGGATTCCACACGTTTGCGGATATAGTAATAGCCACAAACGAGCGGAATTCATGCAGTTGTAAAGATTGTAGCTTTTGTGTGTTGTGCGGTTTTCCCACGGGAAACGCAAACGCTACATCCAGGGCCGGTGCTAGACTATTTTGCGCCCTAGGCAAGACCAGCTACTTGCACCCCCCCTCTCGTGGCGCAACCCCCAATACCCCCCTCCCCCCCCTGCACAGCCCCATTCTCCTGCGGGTTAGCTTCTGCAGGCGACAGGTGGATGTAATTTAATTTGTAATAGCCAATAGCAGACTGGCTATTGAAACCCCACCCACTGAGCAGAAGAGCGAACCTGAGAGAGAAAGTTGTCTCTTAGTTACACTCCTCTGCTCAGTGGTCGGGTGCAATAGCCAGCCCGCTATTGGCTTTTGCAATTTGAAATAGACGGGGGACACCATGGGGGGTAAATGGTCAAGGCTGCGCTCTAGACAGCAGTGCGCCCTAGGCGGCTGCCTAGTTTGCCCAGTGGCAGCACCGGCCCTGGCTATATCTGAATGGAGCCTAAGCGCTCATTCACACCAGGGTGGCTGCGGATCAGCGCGGTTTCCGCGCTGATTTCAAAAGGGAGGTTTTGGGAGTTTTTAAATGCTTTTCAGCGCCGAAACACAATTAAGAACCGCGCTGAAAGCGCATTGAAAGCTTTATGGAAACCGCACTGATCAGCGCGGCAAAAATAGCGCAGGGAGCAGTTCAGGCCTGGGGGCCGTTCGGATCGCGCTGAGCCGCGCGGTCGCATGAACGGTCCCCATAGCAATGTATGGGATCGTTCATGTCGGCGGATCCGCCCGGTGTGAACGGGGACTAACAATGGACAATTGTCTGTGTGGACATTTAAACCACGATAACTCTTCTCCACTCTAATCAGCTAGAAAAAATGGTTTTGTCTGGCGTTGGGCTTTAATAAAATTCAGCTCATAATGATTTGATTTAAGTTAACCCTTTCATGCCCAGAGGTTATTGATGAGTGGATGGCCATACTATACTGATTTCTTTTTTCCAACATTTACAAGTAGACCCCTTAAAATGTACCTGTAGCCACTGGTAGAACCGGTAGAATTGTCGGACGAAAAGTCGGTCGCATACGATTATCGTAAGGTGTATGGGCACCTTAAGACTCCGAAGTTGTCACAGACAGTGAGGTCAGAGAACTAAGGGCTAGTTTACACCAGTTCCAGTGCGTTCCGGCCCAAATCAGAGCCGGAACGCACTGGATCGCATCCCGGCCCGGCTCACTTTGTTTTGGGGCGGGAGGGGGAGTGGCGGTGCGTTGAAGTCAATGGCACCGCAGCCACGCCTGATCACCCGCACCGGAACACGTGGCACATCAATACCTGCATTCCGGTCCGGTGCAGTCAGACAAAATGCTGCATGCGCTATTCCTAATTCCTCAGATCATTATTTGTGTGTAAAAGGATTAGACTCCATGTCAGGTTTTTATTCCTGTGTGTGCCCCTCTGGGGATATTCACCATCTCTATTCGTCATGGTGACCTCTCTTACCGGGATCTAAAGTGAATGAGAATCCAAAAATTTAGGTTGTCACCGGAGCAAAAAAGGAGAAGTAATCTGCCACTGAGGACACTTGTTTTCCGGTGACCGCTAAGAAGGGATTTTTCTCACTCTCTTCCTGTTGTATCTCCAGTACAGGAAGCAAGGAAAATATCCCCAATGAGACACAGTTGACCCAAAAAAATTGAAATTAGATTAATTCTGTCCTACTTTGTCTGAAAAATAAAAAGGTTTTGGCTTCAGATGACAACTCACATTTTGCTAATGACTATATTCTGTATCATGCAGGCCCGATGTTGATAAAAGCCAACACCACCACCTCCTGCAGCTCCGGCAAAGAGGGTAACTACACCTCAAGGCGCTCCTATCGCTCACGCCACCGCTGGAGTAACATCAGCAGCTTGAGCACCGACAGCGGCATCGTAGGAGTCAGCGACGAGAGGGACGAGTGCGAAGGAGGGAACACCAGGCCAGCCAAGCCCGGAGAGGTGGAGAGGGTGGACAGCGGCATTGGGGATGCGTTATCGAGGAGGTGGAGAACCAGAGTGGTGGAAGCCGCTGCTTCTTTGGAGGCCTGGGAGGCCCACCGGCCATGTATAGACTGCGGAGAGAGCAATTTCGCCATGGACACGGAGAGCCGAGGCAAAAGAAGGGAGACTCTGTGCATCAAATGCCTCACCCGGCGCATGGAGCGCAAGGAAGCCGTCCTGGAATTTGTCAACACGGAGACGAGTTATGGGGAGGATCTGAGGATCATTAAAGAGGAATTCTACCTCCCTATGCAGGCTGCGGGTTTACTGACTCAGGAGCAGCTGGTTGTCGTGTTCAGCAACATACAGGAACTCATCGACCTCAACGACAAGTTCCTTGAAGTCCTCCAAGAAGAGATCGACCAAGCATTTGACCAGGTAGAAGCCAAGGGCAAAAAGAGACTCGAAAAGCTGGGCAAACTAAAGTAGAACTATGGGCGAACAGCTGCAACAAATATGTCATGTAGACCCAAGCAAGAGAACTGTATTTTGTTATTTCTAATAGGGATGCAACGATACCCGTTTTTCGGTATCGAGTACCGATATTTTTTTCCGGTACTCGCGGTACAGAATACCAATACCGGAAGTCCCATTAAGGAAGCCGGGCGGTGTGTAATACAGAAAAAGGTTTCCCAGCGCACTCACCAGCCGGCATGCAAAAAAACCTGTCTAACCGCTAAGGTTAAAAGCAGAGGTTTGGATACGCGTCTTCTGCAGAAAATGTGAAAGCCGCACAGCCGCGCCAAGGCACCTCCATATAGTGCGGTCCTAACTCTAACCTCTGAGAGTCTCCATCTTGGAGCACATGGGGCAAAAGATAAAATTGGGTGCAGGTTTGTCAGGAGGAAGCCCAACCTCCCTTAAAGGCACAGGTACGCACAAAGAACTTCTGTTTTGCAGCAGATTGCCTTGTCTCTGGAATGGATACATGGTGTCTGTGTGCAGATTCACAACCTGAGCCAGCACTACAGGAAGAGGCACTCAGCTGCAAAGGGAAGTTCTCCCCCAGCATGAGAAGACATACAGATTTAAAAGGAAGAGCAGCAAAGAGAAGGGACACAACCATGGATTACAGTAAGGCGCACATTACAGTATTGGTTTATGTTAAAAAATCTGAGGGTTTAATGTCACTTTAACTGCCGGTGGCCATCTCAGTGATTGACACCGGCAGTGAGAGGAGGGGACGTTCATCTGGTGGGATGAGGTATGCCACTGGGTCCCCTCTTCTCTCCTGCAACTGTCGTGCTCTCTGTCCATGACTGAGTGGCTGATTTTTCAGAGGGGGTGTCACCAAAATGACTGCCAGTAATTTTGGTGTCCCCCCCTTCCCTCTGATGGTGTCACCTGGTGCAGGCTGCACCCCTCTTGTGATACCACTGGTATCTTTGTATACGTTTTTGAGCACTACACAAAAATGTTACTGTAGATCTTCATGTAGTAACAAAGTCTCTAGTTTTTATCAATAAACAAGCCTTGTGTTGTGTTCTCCCCACCGCAGGGCGACGACGACCTGATGACAGTCTGCATCGGGGAGATCTTCTTGGACTTTGTCAACATGCTACCTGCCTTCCAGATCTACTGCCTCCAGCAGCCGACATCTGTGGCCACGCTCAATGCTCTGGAGAAAGAGAAGGAGCTCTTGAGGTGAGACAATGCTAGAAATGCCTCCTATAAAGTCATTGTTACATAGTGATACATTTTATACTCCTTTTATTTGGGAAGTTTAAATATTAGTTATCAATTCAAATACTTGTAACTGTTCTTAGAAAATCTTTATTTTACACATTGAACACAGTGTGCATCTATGACGTTTTGCTTGCTAAGCACGCTGGGCTTTCTGACAAGAAGGCCCAGCACTGCCTGCATGCTTCCTGGCAGCTTATGTATAACTGCCGAAGCCAGTAATCTGCCCTTCAGATCAGTTTCACAGAACAGCTGTAATTCAACCTCCGCAAATGCACTCTTCTTGTTTGAAACTTACCACCTGCTGGCCGCAAGTGGTATTTAATGATGACTATAGGGCAGATTTTAAAAAAAGAAGAGGGTGTAAAAGTATTTTTAAATGCAGCCAGTGTATTTACCAAAGGATGGGGCAGCACTAGGTGCCAAGGTGTTCGGTGTGAACACTAACAACTAACATGCTGAGGAGGGAGACCGGGCAGGTGAGCTCATCAGTCTTCTGCTGCTCCTTCACTGTCTAATCACAGGCAGGGGGCGGGGGGGTGACCGAGCTGAATTGCTTAACTGCAGTAGAGAAAAGTCAGGTCCCCAACCTCTGAAGACTGAATGGACAAAAACAAAAATCCTTTGGTAGGTAAAACGGTTCCCTTAATATGTGTTTTATCTGTGTGTCTGGAGAAATGTATATATGTAATATTTCACATTTACCTAAGTAAAAAGAAATGATCAATAAAAACTGTTAGTACTGAACCAAACGAGTACAAATATGTGAAAAACATTCCCAAATACTCACCAGGGGCAGATATCCAAATTTCAGCAAGCAGTGCATTGGGTACAGAAAAAAAACATGGATTTGTCTCCATCTGTTGGCCATGAGTGGTACTGTAGAAAAGGTTTTTCCAACCAAAGTGGATCCAACCAGTCTATGTCACAAATGCCGAATTGTTTGTGTTTTTACATAAGAGCTGTGAGCATCTTGTTTATATAAGAGGCAGACGGTTTCAGCGGTTAGCACTGTGGCATACTGTTTTTGTTTTTTTTCCCCGAAGCCCGTGGACGTGCATCAAAACAAACTTCCCCCTGTGAACAAAAAAAGTGAACCGTGAAATCACAGCACACAAAAACGTGCACAAGGGTGCAAGGTCCTTCCAAAGAAGGGACCTACTTTCCCGACCCCCCGGGGCGCAAGGCTCCTGACAGGGGTTGAGACTGTTGGCCCACCAACCCGAAGGCCGGAGGACCATTTCCGTCGGGGACCTCCCGAAACAGGTCCCTCACAGTACTAGGCAGGGGGGATCTCCCGAAGAGAAACCCTCCTCCTGGGTGGGAGGAGACAGAGAACCCCGTAGGAGGCACAGAATCTCCTCCCAGCGTCAGGAATAGGCCCCGAAGAAACCTGCACCTTCAGCATCTGTGGGTCAAACAATGCTTTTAAAAAAAAGCCAATCGTGCAATAAATAATAGAGTGCCAGTGCACCACGCTGACAGGCCCTAGGGGCCGAGTGCAAAAAAATTGCCCCGGACTAGCCATAAGGCCTGTCCAAGAGGCGTTGTGCAGAATTAAGCAATGTGGTGTGTGACCGAGTGATCAGTGAGTCAAAGTGGGGTCCCATACCCAAGTGACTTCCTGAGCACCCCTGGGACGCCACCCCCAGGGGGCACAACACCACGGGCTTACCGAGGGCCTGGAACCTCATCCGGCTCCCTACCAATTACGCCAGGAATTTACTAGGCCGTCCATCCACCCCACACAGGTGACAGCGGCCGTTCTATTCCCGACAACTGATAAGAACAGATACTACACTTGATCTTAGCCAAAAGGCCGAGAAGCGATACTGGTGTGGCACTTACAACCCGAAGAGCTGCTGGATTTAACCCCTTCATGACTGAGGCCCTTTTTTCCTTTTTTGCACCCATGTTATATTCCACATTTTAGGGCTGAAAATGACGTAAAACCCCCCCAACATTATATATTTTCTGAATGCCAAGACCCTATAGAATAAAATGGTGGTAGTTGAAAATTTTTATGTTGCGCAATATTAGCGCAACTCCTTATTAAACCCCAAAATTTAGTGACAAATTTAATTAAATGCCCCAAAACACAACAAATTACCCATTTTTTTAATGAAATATAAAAGATGAGGTTACAACGAGTAAAACGATACCCAACATGCCCAGTTTACAGATTGCGTGCGACCGTGAAACGGCGAAAAACTGCAGTACCCCAAAAAGTCAATAAAAGACACTTTAAAAGCCCCCACAGGTCATCAATTTAGAGATACCCCAAAATACTGGCCCTAGAATTATTGCTCTCACTCCGGCGTGCGCGGCGATACCCAACATGTGTAGCGCGTTCGTCGTTTTCATGCGTAGGCGCACCCGACGCGTGTTTACGTGGCGACGCGCGTGCTCGCGGGGGCGGGGTACTTTTAAAATTTTTTTTTATTATTATTAGATTTATTTTATTTCATTTTAATTTTAAAAACTGTTTTTTGGTTTTTTTTAACTTTACTTTGACTGCTATCACATGGGGGGGCTTGCAAGCCCCCCCATGTAATAGCAGATGGTGGTGACAGGTCCTCTTTAAGGTGATGCTGGGGGTCCAAAAGACCCTCAGTGTCACCTTTACACTGGAAATAAGCTATTGAAGTGCAGATCGCACTTCAATAGCTTATAGCTGGGCTGCAGGAGCCCAGAACTGACAGCCCAGGGACCGGAAGTGATGCAATCTGCATCGCTCCCGGTCCCATAGAACGGGGAGGGGATCGATGAACGGAAGTTCGTCGACCTCCTCCCCAGCTCCCCGCGGACACAAAGATCGCCGGTCCCGGGCCCGTAGGAGGGGCAACGGAGCCCGGGAAGCACGGCGGGGGGGGGGGCGGCCCCTTCTTCGGGACGCAGAAGCGATCTGGCGACAGGCAAGTCGCCTGGATTGCTTCTGTTGTAAAGCCGACAGTCGGCTCTACAAGTTTAAACAGACTCCCGGCTGCAAAAGTCGCCGGGAGTCTGTTTAAACAGCCCCGATGCTGGCGACGTACACTGTACGTCGTCAGTCACGAAGGGGTTAAACAAGCTCTTCTGCCTTCTCTACTGGTGACCTGCCCTGTGGCTGCACCGAAGCACTCACTGTCAGGGTATCGTGCGCGTGTGTCCCCACACTACATGCAGGTACCCACGCAGGATGACCAAATTAGTATGACCACACCAGATAAGGTTATAGGCACACAGTTTATTAAACAATAACACTAAAACACAACAAAGGGTCAGGGTACCGGCAGGTAACAGGCAAGCGGATAACAGGGATCAGGACACAGTCAGGGAAAGGCGACAGGATACTGAGCCACAGTCCTGATGGCACTCACCGACCGATGAGGTGCAACAATCAGATACCTCAAGGCCTCCTATCTTTTTCTTAGGAATTTATTGGCTCAGATGTCTTAGTGAGGAAAGGTTAGGGGTACAGGGTACCACAAAACAGCAGAAAAACCTCCCTCCGGTTATATCTGTGAAGGTTCTCATTCATCCAGTTCATGTTATATCTGTAAAAAATAAGTCAAGGCAACTGGACTTATTTTTTACAGATACTCCCTCTGGATAGTAGTATCTTTCCTCTGCCCTCTGCCACAGAGTAATGTGAATTCTGTAGGTCCAGATGAACAGCTACCTGCAGGTATCTTTGGCCTCTACCACAGGCCAGGTTAGGACTCTTTAGACCTCCCTCACAGACCAGTTGTGGACCTTTAAGACCAGACGGGCATCTGTCTTCCAGAACTCCTCTTTAGCTTTAGCTTCCTCCCCCCAAGGCAAGGGGCCTGAGAGACAAAGAGTGGACCTTTCACAGCTACACCCTCCCCAGGCAGCAGGCCTGGGAGGCAAGGACCTCTGGACTCACAAACTCTCCAATCAAAGCCTAGGAGGCAAGGACCCTTCTAGATGGTCTCTCTGAATATCCTTTTTCCCAGCCTACATCACAAGAATAAACCTCTCAGTGGTTGACCAAGACATTGTAACTTCTCACTCTACCGGAGAACATTCCTCAGAGGAAGGCAGAAGCAAACAATCTCCTTGATAACATAGGTAACACTCAGGGTCGCTATAGCCTAGCTGCAAACACTAAATTTGGATAGGGACATTCCAGTTTAGCGCGCTGGTTAAATGGGGTCCATGCAAAGTGGCCCTGGAATGTGTATGGTTTGTATGTTAGATTATTAGATTCTTCGTGGACATCGAGTGACGTGATTGGTCCTGCACCACAAAAATACAGGACATAAATACTGTACCTACTAGGACTTGTTGAGGAAGAGTATTATTGCAGTGATGATTAACTTTTCTTTGATTTGTTCCCTCTAGAATATTCCTGGACGTGTCTCAGAATGACAACACCGCTCTACGCCGCATGAACCTGCGGTCATTTCTGATCGCTCCACTGCAAAGGGTCACAAAGTACCCCCTCCTTCTGAGCCGGATACTGAAAAGTACCACCGAGTTCCACCCGGACCACAGCAGCCTGTGGGAAGCCAAAAGCCGAATTGAATCGCACTTAGAGCACATCAACATGAAAACCAAACAGGAGGGCAACACGTGGACCTTGCGATCCTTCCGGAGGGAGAGCAGGAAGAACAGGGAGGTGACCAACATTGAGATGAGGGAGATGGCCATCAAGCAGGTCGGTTGGCCAAGAGAGGAGACGCGCTTTATAAAGGAGGGACCCTTGCAGCTGGCACAGCCGACGGATGGACAATGGGTCAAGAAAGGTTGCAAATCTCTTAAGTTCCAGAACGTGCACGCGCTGCTGATGGTGAACGCAAAGAGGACCTCCGACTCCGGGCTGGAGGGCGCCGCTTTGGAGAAAACTGTCAAAGACGCTGTCTTGGTTCTTATCAAGGACAAAAGTAACGGGAAGTTTGCAGCCCTGAGGGACCCCCTGAGGTTGGGACAATGTGTGGCATCCGTGGACCCAGACTGTGAGGATATATTTGAACTCTTGGAGATCAGGAAAGAAGGTTTTGTGTTCCGGGACAGCGACAGCTCCCGAACTCAACACTGGTTCCGACAGATCAAAAGCTTCTCCCAAGAACTCGGGTCGTGGCAAAGACGCCGCAACGCTCTCCCAAACATAATGATAAGCACAGCGCAAAACCGGTCCTCAAATTGACATTGGGATGGTGTTTCTATCCCAGCCATCTGCCCAAGTGCAGACAACACTGGACCGTGTCTGTCCTGGGTCAAATATGGGGTATTATTTAAGCACATGTTCTATATATGCCGATCTCAGCTGTTAACATTCCAGAATACAAAGGTTTTCAGTCCTCTCCGTGTCCAACAGGATCCAATAGGATGTGTTTAGATAGACCAGTCCGACAACCGAGCTCCTCAAGACTAAACCACAGGCTGGGCTCCTCAAGACTAGCAGCTTAATCGTGTGGCTATAGTCCATTGCAATTATACACTTGAAGCAGCAGATGATCCCTAGTCATATAGAACAAATGGTTCCCAATGGTGTAAGCTACACTTGTGCCCAGTGCTCCAACTGTATGTGATTTATGGCTGCAACATGCCCTTTGTGTAGCCTTTAAAACAGCCATTGTTTAGTGGATCAGAGGCTACCTTTAGCATGACGATGCTACTTAAATTCACCCATGTAGCTTATAGCCTTACATTTACATCAGAACCCTGAGGAGGGGAACACGGATCTGGTTGGTTTCTGAGTATAAACAGTCATTTCAGTGTTAATTGATGCCGGACCAAGCCTGATCCGAGGACTCCAGCATAGCAGTATACAACGGGTGAGAGCACCATAGATTTATGATAGGTCCAGTAAATGTTTATTCATCTTGACAACCAGTCAAGATTGATGATGACAACTGCCCCCCTCATCATCTCATCGAGGTTTGGAGGACTGTCCGGCTGGCAATTTACAAGCATTCTAATTGTAGTTTTATACAACCACTGTCCATTGTACCCCAATTATTGCCAGCACTTGAGCCCTGATAAGGGGGGCAGGAGTGAGCCCCTGAAACACGTTGGCCTGTTGCCAAGATAACAAAAAAAAAGTCCTTAGAATACATTTGTGGCGCTCTCATCCCTTATATACTGTTTTGACCATTGCAGGCACCCATAGGGATACCCCGGCTGACAGAGAGCTGCCCTTTCAAACTATATATTGAGCTTGCTCTCACTTATAATTGGGTCCAACACGCCATCAACATGCCTTTTGAAGCCTCCTGCATGACACAAGGAAGGTGCCCGGTTACATTTTGGGTGCTGGAAATAGAAGGCTTTCATGAGCACAAAACAGGTTTCTCTGAAAACTTGAAATTTTGAGTCATTTGTCCATCTGTGAAAAACTGTAACAGCAATTTACTAAGACTGGAGCAGCTGTGCCATGCAACCAATCGGCTTCTACCTTTCATTTTTATATCCGCACATAACAACCTGAAGAGAGAAGCTGATTGGTTGCCGTGCCCAGCTGCTCCAGTTTTAGTAAATTCGCCCCTGCGTGATTTGTTCTAGGTAAAGGTATCCTCACAACAGACCAGTGCTGCCAGAACATTCAATCTCCGGAGCTGTAATTGGTTTCCGTTTGTATTTAATTAAAACTGAACTCCAGACTGATATAAAAGTCACAAAATGAATGCAGCTCTGTACTTGAATGTATGTTTTAAATGCAACCAGTGTAAGTACTTGAAATTGACCTGTTATCGGCTTCATGCAATGGCTGGCACAGCAAAGCTTAGACTGGAAGAAGTAGGCCAGGGAGCCAATCGCAGGCACTGCATGCAAATGTGTTGACAAGGAACGTGCTGATAGGAGGATAGAGCCTGCGGCTGCTCTTTCACTGTCCAATCAGCAGGCTGAGGGTGGAGGAAGAACACCACTGTATTTTTTTCCATTAAGCAGCGTCCTCCACCTGTCTGCTCTGTGCGATGAGGTTGTGTAAATCTTGGGACTGGAGTTCAGCTTTAATTGTATATAATACACATGCGCTCTTTTTTTTTTGTACCTGGAAGCACTGCTATCTGGCACTGGGGTGTCTGTAGTTTGCCATCCTCAACTGTCACTATAGAGAAAGTCATTTGTGATCTATGCAACGATCGTTCATACAAGAAAATCTGTTCCATTGTGAAATCGGGGACAAGTGAGCATGAGTCTTGTGCCCGTGGGTGGGCCTGACCCCTTGGGGAGTATCCTAAAAAAAGGTGGCAGAAAGTAACAAATGTGATTCTGAATGGATTTTGTACCATTGTATTTTTATTTAGGAGTAACAAAGGTTAATGACCAACAGATGCCACCATCTTCCCAACATTCTCGGAAGCAGAACTGAACCCAAACATTTTTTGTTTGTTTTGGATAAGGTAAGGGAGGGTTATAACCCCTATTGACTTTTTTGGGCCATATGTGTCCCTTTACGGAGATTTCCCTCCACGTCCTGTGTCAACCACAACAGGAAGTGAGAAGAAATCCCTCCAAAGGGAGGAAATTCTCAGGTGGTCCGCAGGGTCACCAGAACTTTCCCATTGGAAGATTTCCCATCCATTCCTGTACTGATAACAACCCAAATTTGGGGGTTTTCTTTCACTTTCAATGAGGACGGTCACCAGGACAAATAGAGGGGGCGAACCTCCCTAACAGGGACACAGACAGCAATAAAAACCTGCTAGGCGTTCTAATCCCTGTCCACTGTATCCAAAACTAATAACATTGAACTGGTTGTAGGCTACCACAGATGTCGGTGCTCACCAGACTCAGGAAAGGTCTTTCAAAAGATTTTTCCGTATACAGTGACGGTGGCAGTGGAAGATCACATCCAAACAATGCTTCCAGGTGTCGGAAGTGCATGAGCTTCATGTATGGTCATTAAACTATCCGGAGATACAAAATTAGACATAAGAAGTGATGGAGGCAAAATTCCAGGAATTCAGATCAACTTGATGGTGACGTTTGTCAAAGAACTTTCATATCAACGACCATTCTGAGAGTCTCTGAAGGTTCTCCGTTGTCCAGGCCATGGTATGGTGTCAGGGGTGGAATAATGGGCCAGGTGTGGAACCCCTTGGCAGGGACGAACAATGTTCAAAAAGCGCAGTACGAAAGGATAATCCAATCGGGTAGTCAGGTCCAGTTCCGGGTCGTGGCGGGCAGCAGGAATCGTAGTCGAAGGGTCAAGCATGGTTACCATGACCTGGACCATTGAGAACCTTCACAGACTCTCAGAATGATCGTTGGTATGACAGTAGAAGTTGGTCACATTCAGCTGGACTTGTTCTGGAATTTTGAAGATGTTTCCTAAACTATCAAAGCCTCTTCTTCATTTCTGATAAGGAAATTATAATTTTGGGGTGAATACCCTGAAACTGGTGGGGAGATGGAGAAAACGGCTAGAAAAGGTGTGGATTATCTTCCTGACTCTCATCAGAAGGGGCTTGGAGAAGCTACGAAAGGTCTTCAACATGCAGAACAAGTCCAGGTGGAATATGGCCAACCATTCTGAGAGGTTTCCTCAGACCACCGTCCTGTGTCTTTGGGTAGCCTAAGGGAGCTCTTCTAAAATAAAACTTGTGTGGGTTTGGTGGCGGGTTTCCAGAAAATGTTTTTATGTGGTCACGTCGACTCATGACTTAACACTCCCACCGACGGTCTCTACGCCTTTCATTTTTCTGCAAGAACATGAAAACTGCCATAAAAATGACGGCATGGGCATCACACAAGAGAAGAACGATGGCGGGGAAAAAAACTTTACCTGCAATGGCCACATTCTGCCATCTGCAAACATTCCCACCATAAAAACCTTTGTGAAGGCCGCGATTTCAAGCGTAGGTTGCACAAGTTCTATAGGAAACCAGAAGTCTATGCCATCCTATATGTAGGAATTCTCATCATGGCTGGCCATTGCATTACAGATTCCCCAAATCAGGTCCAAGCTCTGCTTCTGCTGAACTACAAGTCCCAGCAGTCTAAGGAGGACTTTGCTGTTAGAAAGATGAACTGTCACAGGTTTGCCTACCTCACTTTTACATACCACAGCCGGTAAGTCACCCGTTCAGATCTGCCGTCAGTATATTTCCTCTCTCGTGATTCCATTGTCACAGGACACTCGAGAGACCTTCCGTTCTGGATGTTGCAGCTCCGACAGAACTTTTTAGGTTTGGTACTGATGACGTTTTCGCTGGTTAATAATATCCGTAATATGTAAACGCAAAACCGAAGATTCAGCGCTGGAATCACACTGAATAAAACATATAAGAAACTAATGCACTGCATGGTGGCGTCTGTTTATTGCAGCTTCTGCGAGTGAATGGATTACTGGAGCTGGACACATGGAGGCCGGGATGGAGGTATTTTAATGTGTTGTGGAAATTGTATTATATGGACTCGTGTGGACATTTTATTCTAGGATATTTGCGTTCTATAGATTGTCATCTGTCTCCCTGCGTCGGATGTAACCGAGGAGCGCTCTAGCAGAGCGTACTTGGGTTGAATCGGGACCAGCGGTAACACCGTCAGTATGAAAACCTTCTCACGGGCTTGGAGACGTGTTCACAGTGTGTGGGGGGCGTTTGCCGGTTTGTGAGCCCTAAGTGCCACGCGCTGCCTTCACACGTATGTACACATTAGCGAAGTCCGTATAACGAGATACGTATTATACTTCTATTGCGGACTCGTTATCCATTTTGGATACATATCTGCTTTTATAAGAAGACATTGATATATGCCTTGTCCATATACTGGTACCGTATACAGATAACCGCATTAGCAATGTCTCCTCAGTCTCAAAAAGTAGAATGATCTTACTAGATGCTGGTCACTCTGAGCGGTATGGAATGGGGTCCATGCTGACAATGATGTGGGGATGGGCATCCACATGGCCGGTCGGGACAATGAACATGAATCCTCAGTGGCGTCACAAGGGTGTGCGGCCCGCACCCCGGTGACACCATTGGAGGGGTGACACCAAAATGACTCAGTCATTTTGGTGTCACCCCCCTCTGAAAAGTCGGGCGCTCGGTCACGGACCGAACGCCCGACAGTATCAGGAGAAAGGAGGGGACCCATTTTTTAAGTCCGAAATACGAAATTCGGATACGGAATCCGTTAACGGAATTCGTATTTCGGATAAAAAAACAACTACCACATCGACTCCAATATTAACAAAGGTATTTTTGCTTTTTAACTTCATCATAACGAATGTTCGTAAAGTTACGAAAATGTGCCGAAACTAACGAAAATCCGTATTTCGTACGAATCCGAATTGAGTTTCGGACACGAAATACGAAATAACGGATATTCCGAAACGGAACGAAACGGAACAAATTTTTTGACGGTGCACAAGTCTATTTCTGGGCTGACTGGCTGGTGTTGTAAAGCCGCCTCCCACTGGGCGTCGTCCTTTTGCCTTAATAAATGAAGGAGTTGGTGGTCCGCTCAGCCCTTTTCTACACTGACTCCAGCTTGAAGCAGCATCGTGTCCGACTCT